GCCCAGCGGGAAAGTTGCGCGGCATTTTGCAGCTAAGCCGCGCCGGCTTTGGGGTTTGACTCGCGGCGCGGGATGAGACTGGAAACCTGAGCACGACAGGAGGTCCAGGCAGGAGTGCCCTCCCTGGGCAGCGAGGCACAGCTAGTTCCGGATCCGTCCTCTCTTCCCAGCGCTCCCAGCGCTGCCGCCGGCGGCACAAGGCTGCGGTGACGGCGATGAAGCGGCTTGCCAGGCAGCAGGCAGACTGCGCGGCCGGCTTGCAAGCAGCCAGCATGCCTGGGCGCCGTGCCGAGCTCCTAGAGCTGGTGGCCGAGCGCCCTTCCAAAGGGAGAGGGAAGCAGACGGTGCATCAGGCCAGCCGCATCGCGCTCAGCCCACCGGCTGCGCTGCCGCTCATGCCTCGCAAGCTGCCTTGGGTCTACCTTCTTTTAACGTCACAAACCCAAGCCTCCGAGTCCGTGCAAGGTTGCTCCGTTTGCCATGGAAGATTCGTACTCTGCTGTTCTTTTTCTTTTAAAACCATCTGGCAGCCAGACATTGCAGAAGAGAGAAGAAGGGGTCCTTCGCAGGGGCATGTGTGAGGAGGACAGGTGGCTCCTGGAGCACCGAGGGACCCGCAAACACTTGTTTTTTTTTGGGAAACATCTGCTGGAGCTGCGTGGCAGCCATCTCCTCACTTTGAGAGCAGGGGTTGTATCTGCAGAGACCTTGGCTTGCACAGCTTGTGCGTGCATGGGACACTTGATATCCTTCTATAGTAGGAGGACAAGATGTGCAAGGGCAGGACAGGCGACAAGGACGACACGGACAGGGCACATGGCACACCTTGCAGAAAGCATCTCGAAGGCCAGAGCTGCTCAGCAGAAATGCTGAGCCTGGCAGTGCTGGGCAGTTCTCCTTGCTGAGCCCTGGGACATTTCTGCTGCCCAAATCACAGGAAACTCCCCTTGCCACGGGTAACACGCCATGGTTTGCTCCCTCCCAGCCGGGCAGTTTCCAGCTCCCTAACAGTCCCTTTGTTCAACTGGTGCTTCTGCAGCCTCTGAAAGCCAATGCTGTGGACATGTTTCCTAATTGCTCCCCGTGTCCTGGCATGCCTCAGGTCAGCTCAGTCCTGCAGGACCTCCTTGATGTGCTCTTGGGCCAGGCGAAGTTGCAGGGAAGATGCATCCAGTCTGCTGGGGCTTTTCATTGAGTGTGGTTTTATGCCACATGGCCAGAAGGACCGGACTGTCACATCCTGCTAGTGGCCTGTAGCCCATCCAAGCTGCCTGTGGGAACCATGAATGGGAAGGGTGGTTTCCTAGCTGGGATTTGACAGATGTATTTTGTACCACAGGCACTTGCGGGGGTGCATGTAGGGTCTGTCCGTGTCCTGCTGGATATCTCCTCAACCTGACGCCTGCCCTCTCTCTTGGCAGTGGGTTTTTCCGAGTGAATGAGACCACCTTCCTGCTGGAGCCCCTGGAGCAGGATGCGGCTGGCCAGCACGCAGTGTACAGAGCAGCTCATCTGCGGGGGAAGCGTGGCACGTGCCGAGAGTCTGGTGCCACCCTGGAATATGACCACGAGCCGAAAATTCCTGCAGCCATGAAGCTCTACAGATGGGTTAAGGATTGCTTTTCTTCTCCTTCCTGTGGTTGAGTTTGCAAGAGCCTAGGTCCTGTGAAGTCCAGGAGAGAAGTGAGGCCATACTGCATCTTTTGGAGATGCTCCTCTCCCACAGGTTGTTGGTTGGGTACCCAAACATGAATTGCTCCCAGTATCCTAGCTCCTAGTGGGAACAAGTCCTCAGATGCTGTACCACTAGCAGGAGCACGCTCCTACCTCTTGAGCTCCGTGACGCCCTCTCTCATGCTTTATCCGAGTAGTAGGCTTTTGTTTTTCCTTGTGTGTCGGAAGATCTCTAACACACCCAGCAATGTAACATCAGAAAGCAGAGCTAGAAGACCTGCTAGCCTTGAATAACACTGGAAGATGCCCCAGGATCCAACACATCCCACAGGAGAATCAACTGCAGGTCTCAGCAAGCTGCAGAGCTGAGCCTGTCTTTGCACTCACTCACTCTCCTCTTCCCTTCCAGAAATCATCTCCATTACAAAAAGGTCCCCGATACGTGGAGTTGGTCCTGGTGGTGGACAATGAGGAGGTAAGCGGGGAAGGGGACGAGCCAGTGCCTGCGTTTTCGCTGTCATCAACTTCAGTGAGGAGGTTGAAGCCCGCCTGGAAATCTCTCTGTGTCCTTCCCATAGTTCAGGAAACACAAGGACTTGCGCACAGTGCAGAACCGCATGAAGGAAATAGTGAACCACGTTGACAAGGTGAGCCCAGGGGTCTGGATCTGCCCTCCCTGCTCCCACACATGCCCTGCAGTGCCAGCATGGGCATGAACGTGGTGGAGGAGAGCTTGGCATGGGTGGGGTGATGGAGCTGGACCCGATCTCAAGCCCGTAGGTGGGCTGCCACAGGGTGACCAACTCCCTTGGCCAGTGGGGTGTGCAAAGTGGACATGTCAAGCAGCTCAGCCCTGGTCCTCAGGACCATGGGATGGCTGCCTCCCAGCTCTCTCATAAGGGAAGGGGGGAGAAATTCCTTCTCATAATCCCCGGGAGCACTTCCCACAGCCACTCTCAAGCTGGAGTGGGTGCTAACGAGGGGAGGGTGATGGATGCAGTGCACCAAAGAAGGGTTTCTGTTTGCCTTGCTTCAGCCTCACTCTTTGGTCAGCAGCATGGGAGCAGCATCCCGGCCACCATCAGCCAAGAGGGAGCCCAGGGGTCCTGGGGTCACCTGGGGGACCCTGTATATGTGGTCGCCCCAGCTTGTGTTATTTATTGAGGGCATGACAGAGCTGATACTGCACAGTGAGGTGGGGTCCTGAGCGTGGTTGCGGTTCCCCAGGGAAGGTGGGACCTTCCCTCTACTTGCAACTCAAATCCAAACGCTCCCTCCGGGCTGTCTCCTGCCCCAGCTTTATCAGCCTCTTCATCTGCGCGTGGCCTTGATCGGCTTGGAGGTGTGGAGCCACAAGGACAAAATCGTAGTCAGTCCCAACCCGGAGGTGACGCTGGACAACTTCCTCCACTGGCGGGAGGCAGAGCTGCTGCGTAGGAAGCCACATGACAATGCCCAGCTGATCACGTAAGGACGGGGGGCCACCACTTCACCATCCTTGCAGCCATCCTGCCACCCAGGCTGTGTGGCCATGGTGGTATCTCAATCCCACAGGGGCATAGACTTCCACGGCACAACCGTAGGGCTCGCCAAGAAGCTTGTGATGTGCAGCAGGGACTCGGGCGGTGTCAACCAGGTGGGTCCCACTGCCTGGGCATCATGCACCAGGAGGGCAGCAGCAGTCCCATGGTCTAGACTCCCTTCATTATTTTCCAGTGAGGGTCTCACTTCCACTGGTCTCCAGCTTTCCCCCTCCAAAGGCTTAGGGCCGGATCTCGTTCCTGGCATATCCGACCCTTGAGTGACTGAGCCTCAGAGAAGTGTCGGGGCCGCAGGGGAATGGTAGCTGTGGAAACCCACCTGGGTGCCTGCAGAGGGCTCTGGTATACCTGAGCCCTGAAAAGCCTCCCAGAGCAGCTCCGTGGACACAGGGCTTCTCCCACCACCTGTGAGGGGGCTGGGACTTGGTTTACAATTGCTCCTCAGCCGTCCTGGCTGTGCTCCTCATCCCTCTCCAGGGAGAGCATCCTCTGCTGGAATGGGAGAGGTCAGCTGTCCAGAACCACCACAAAAGCATCATTTCATGGTAGCTGCTATATCTAAGCTCACTTACACCCCTGAGAGCCCAGTCTGGAGGTCTTCAGGGGCTCTGAGGCCAAGTCCAGCTTTTGTCTTCCTTTACCTCGGCATGGCAGCATTAGGGAATGAATTGCAGACAGCAGCGAGACCTGGCACTGAGCAATTGAAGAGCCCCAGTGGGCCCCAGGGAGATGCTGTGGAGAGCATTTGAACCATACTGCACTTCTTGTCCCACAGGACCACAGCACGAATCCTATCGGTGCTGCGTCCACCATGGCTCACGAGATGGGGCACAACCTGGGGATGTCTCATGATGAAGATGTTGCTGGCTGCCGCTGTCCTGTCCCCAAAGCGGATGGAGGATGTGTCATGGCAGCGAGCGTTGGGTGAGTGAAGGAGAGAGAGGAATATCCCCAGGCAGCAAATATCTTGAGGTGTAGTCCCACACTGTCCTGATGGGGTGAGGCCTGTGAGATGGTCAGGGTGGTCCACCTCAGATGTCTGGGTGGACACTTCACTTGAAGCTACACTTCAAAGGTCATGTTGGTGGCCCTCCAGCTTCTCCCTGGGCTGGTGGGTGTGAGGGCCCTCAGGCTCTCATCTCCGCTCATGACTGCCTGTTTTTGTGCCCCTTCAGCTTGGTTTATCCCAAGCTCTTCAGCCTCTGCAGCGAGCAGGACATGTGGCAGTTCCTTGGGGACCCCAGGACCAGCTGCCGGCTGAACGTCCCCAGGGCGGATGATCTGTACGGTGGGGGCGGGAACCAGTTTGTGGAGCGGGGAGAGCAGTGCGACTGCGGCACACCGGAGGTAGGCACGCTGCCTGTGAGCCCAGGAAGGAGGGTGGGCAGCAGGGACCTGAGAACTGTCATTCAGACTTGGAAAAGGTTGTGCAAGCCTCTTCCCTGGACATTGTGCTTTGCAACACTCATCTTCCTTATGTTCCTGC